TAATTAATTAATTAGTTAATTAATTTATTAATTTATTAATTTATTAATTTATTAATTTATTAATTTATTAATTTTATTAATTTATTAATTTAATAATTTAATAAGTAATTAACTTATTTGTATGAAAAAGTGTAACATGTTTATTTTATTAGTGTCGAAAAAATAACAATGACTTTCAATTTAATTGATGATGATGACGATGATAATAAGAACAGTAACAAGAAGGTTTCGTTCTTCTCCTTATCCGCAATTTCCGGTACGTTTCGCAAATTGTGCATGCAAAAACCCTCTGAAAACTGACAGATACGAATTGGTCTCAAACTTTTTGCCATTTACTCTGTCTGATAAGAAGTTGTATATCCCTATACAGTTGTATTTGTACGAGACCGTGGGTAACAAAATAATTCCCAAAATACATTCGTACACAATTATTAATTACACTCATTATCAATATAAATTGTTTCTAAATTTATAATTAAAATTCGTAAACGAAATAATTACTCAACTTCATAATAAGAAAAAAATACAATTTTACAATAAATGAATAAATGAGACAAAAAATAATTGTGACAAAAAACAAACAAAAATAATTATTTTTCGTCTTGTTTGTTTTTTGTCCCAATTATTTTTTGTCTCATTATTTTTTGTCAAAAAAAAAAAAAAAAAAAATAGAACAAGAGAAATAAATCAAAAAAATAAATATGACAAAAAATAATTAAGACATAATGAACAATGTGAATAAATAAACAAAAATAATAAAGAATTAAGACAAAAATTGAATGAGACAAAAAATAATTAGGACGAAAAATAAATAGTTCAAAAAATAATTAAAACCAAAATACAAAAAAGGCCAAGTAAAGGAAAAGAATAAACAAGAAAACGAATACGACAAAAAAGTAATAAAGTTTTACTATATAATAATTATTATTAGTTAAGAAAATTGAATTATGCAAAAATAAACAATGAAAATTAAAAGGGTAATAATAGGAATAATAAAAGGAAGTAAATAACATGAACTAATGTGTCTGGAATAAACCTACATATATAATTGGATTGCATGACTCTAATTGAAGGTACATTTTAATATAAAACCAATGAAAATATCAGGCAACATTTGATTAAGATGAATAAAAATTTTTACACGAATTTTATTATATTTGATATAGAGTGTGTATATAATGTAAAATATAATTATTAAATCGGTAATAGTTCAAAAATCTTGTGTACTGATTTTTATATTATAATCATAAAGGAGGGTTTCAGTAATAAAAGGAGGAGAAATGTAGAAAAGTTTCGGTGCTCCATCGTGGTAGCAATTTATTGCATGCAAAAGAAACTTGACACGTGTCACCATAGTGAACGTGTAACTTTTCTAACATCTACATCTCAACAATATATACATATATATATGTAACTCACAATATATGTTGACCTACATGACAGGAAAATCCTTTTAATTAGATAAGTTTTTTGATTGAGTATATATAAAAATGGATAAAATTTATGCCAAACAAAATTTAGTGTATTTTAATAAATATTCATATAAAAATATTTATGAATTTATTAATGATATTGAATGTATAATTTTAACAGTTGTTATTAAACTATTATAGGTATATCATATAATTAAATGTTATAGTTGTAATATTATATAACATTTATTGGAGTTGTCATTAAATTATTATAGTTATAATTAACCTTATTATAAATACACTCAGGAAAAAGTTATTGTTTGAAACAGTCAAAATCTTGGTTGAACCAACTAAACAAATGCATTATTGCTATAGAAAATTTGCCTTTCAATGTTCGAATTTGATGCTTGTAGTCATTAATTTAAATTGTAATTAACATTCTTATTAACGTTATATTCTTTTACAGTGATAAAAATTCAGAAATTTTGAATCGAAATTTTTAGTATTATTTCGATATGAAATTTTATATAAAATTTTAATTTAAAATATAAATAAAATAAAATATCAAAATTTGTATCATAATTTTAGTATAAACGATTAAATGATAATAGTCAAAGATTATTTGAATTAAATAATATTTTTTTTTAGTGTGTATATTCATTATTACAATGGGAAAATTGAATGAAACACTCACGACAAAGTTGTGGAGATAATTTACCATCCTTATACATATATATGCTTGAAGAAACTCATAGGAACATGTATAATTCAATGTAAAGCTCAAGTTTCCAAAGTTTTCTGAAAATATTACACTTCTCATGTATACATAAGTATATATGTATTTAGTAATATATTATTAATCCCAAAGTAATTAAACATTTTGTTTTATTTGACAGTGTTGAAGTCACTTCAGGCTGACATGGACTTATACTACTTGAAAAATATAATTATTCTCAGTCATTTACCTATACTACTGAAATTTATATAAACAGTATACTTTGAATTGTTTTCAAATGTAATATTATAATATTTGCTAATTAAGAAAGTCTGACATTTATATGTACTACCTACTTTAAAAGTATATTCTAAAACATTAACCTATACTATACTGAAATTTATATTTCTAACCCAGAAATTTCAACTCGGTCTACTGAACAGTAACTGGACATTTTTCTGGTCAAAATTTAGAATTAAATTTATTTTTTAAATATATTTTAAATATATTTTAAATATGTATATTTTAATTATATTTTAAATATATTTTATTTATAATTATTTATTTATACTTTTATGTTTATTTAAAATATTTAAGACCAACGAACAATTACTCCACCAATAACACTTGAATCGAAGAATTAAAAATTCGCACGCACCTGGGATCGAACCCTAGGCCTTGACGACACAACTCATGTGTGTTACCACGCAGCCACGATGACACGATGATAAATTCATAAATTATTTTCTTTTCACGAAACTGCTTATATTAATATTTATTTATTTATTAAATACAAACATCGATATTAGTATACTATAGGTATAAATATTCTCCAAAATACTATTTTTCTATAATTTAAATACTTTCTATAATTATAATTATTCTGACTAATATGTAGTTTTATTTTACTGCGAAATTCACACTTAAAAATGAATAAACAATGTTTAATTATTATAAATAAGTGTCGGTAATTAAAATTATCTTATGTTAAATATTTTAAATAAATGTAAACGTTTTAATTAATATTAAATATTTAATAGATAATAAAATGAAGAAATATAATATATTGCAGATGAATTTAAATATTAACTAGTGAAATGTAAATTTATATGTTAAGAGGGGATTTGATTTAAAATGTAATATAATCCTTGTAAATTTAATAAGTACTTTATGCATTGATAAAAACTCTTATTATTTATCATTAGATTATAAAAGATATTGTTTTTGACATAGTAACTATTAATAATTAAAATGATTTGGTTAATCTTGATTTTTTTGGTTATTATTTATTATCAATGAATAATTTTTCTATTTTATTTTTTTATTATAATCATAACATTGAAAAAAAATTATTTTATTAAAATAACCGATTACTTGACTATTTATCAATTAAAATTAAATATTTACTTAAATCAAATAATTTTCATTTGATTCAATTAAATAGTATTTGCTTCAAAAACTGAAACTATTGGTTTAAAATTTAAATACCATTTTATTGAATCAAATAAAAATTATTAGATTCAAGTAAATATTTAATCGATAATAGTCAAGTAATGTTATTTGAATAAAATAAATTTTTTTCAGTGTATAATACATTATAAGGCATAATAAATAATATAATTAATTAAAAAAGATTCTTTTTATACAGAAACTTATATTTATATTAATAAATATATTAATTTAACTATATAAATAATTAAATAAAACAATTTACTTATTTAAATAACTAAATGAAACAATTTACTTATTTAAATAAATAAATAAACCAAAAATAACAAATATTAAAAATTTTTACAATTAATTTTTAGCAATGTTTTTGACAATTTCTTCTTACACTGAAAAAAAAATTTATTTGATTCAAATAACCGATTAATTAACTATTATCATTTAAATATTTACTTGAATCAAATAATATTTATTGGAATCAATTTTAAATGGTATTTGAACCAATAATTTCAGAATTTGAAGCAAATACTATTCAATTGACTCCAATAAATTTTATTTAATTCAATTAAATATTTAATTAATAATAGTCAATTAATCGGTTATTTGAATCAAATAAATTTTTTTCTGTTTATAATTATACTTATTTAAATAAAAATTAAAAACTTGTTTTTAATTTTTAAATTTATTCCATTAATTTTAAAGAAATTTAAATTTCTATGCTCTTTTAACATATTTTATTTTAAATTTAAAAAGAAAAATAAATATTAACAGTAAATAGAAAAATTATTATTAAATTCTTAAAATGAAAAGAAAGAGAAAGAAGGAGTTTTTTTATTTATATTTTAAAAAGAAAGAATTTCATTTCATATGTTTTCTCAACTGTATATACACATAAAATCTACGAATCTACTTAAAAATTCAATATCCAGAAAAGAATATTAAATTTTTTTTTCTAATGTGCAAATGTAATTGCAAGAAATACATTTAATTTAAAATTTTAATATTATGTACTCTTTCACACATTTCATGCAACTTGCCAATTAGCAAACTTCCATTAAAAAAAAGGAAAGAAAAAAAGAGCAAAGGAGAAAGAGAATGCTTATTTACATTTTAATTACTTTTTAGAAATTTCGTATTTAGATATTTGAATTTAGTGCGTGTGAAGAAATTTTCATTACCGACTGTTACCACTCTAGAAATATTTTTTTTTGGAATAAAAATTAATTTGTAGTTTACTTGAAAAGGTTAATAAATACAGAAAAATGACATTAAATGTTAATTGAGATTGACATTATTTATATTATTTCATGTTTATTATTGTTTGTTCCGTTCGTTCTTCGTTCAATGGTAAAACAGTTGAATTCCGCTTGTTAGTTCCCCTCAGCGCCGCCACGTGTCACTGCGACGACTTTTAACTGTCATGGCCGCCAAGTACTCGGCAAAGCAATGGCAATTTTCTTGTCAGTTTTCTAAATAAATTGTGTTTTTGTACCTTTTTACAAAAGTTTTCTACTTAATGTCTAGTGTGTTACAATTAGTGTGATTGTGTATTTTGACAATATGCCGTGAATGAATGAAATAAAAGTTTTATAAATATTGAAAAAAAGCAGTGAAAATTTCGGTGAGTATAATATCGAACGTGCGTTTGTTTGACACTATATGACAATCGCGGTTATTCACATTTGTTTACACCCATATATTTATTCATTTTGAATCGTTGCCAGGACAACTGATTATTGCATTTGTGTCAATTATTAGCAGATGAACCATTATTTTCATTTTGATTATTAATGTGACGCGATTTTCTATGGTTATATAGATATATATATATATATATATGTACGTGTATGTATATATATAATGTGTCAAAATGTATATAACCTCTCTCTCTCTATCTCTCGCTCACTCTCACTTATATTCAAACTATTTCCTTTTCATTTCATCTTATGTGTGTTCAATATCTCTTTTCTCTGTTTTGTGTATGTGAATATTCACTACCACCCACTTCAAAAAGGACAGGCCAAATGTCATGAATTCTCCCGTTTTCGTAAATTTACGAGGGCCCTATCGACCGTTGTCGTTGTCCTTTTTTCTCCCCTTGCCCAAAATTTATCGAATCACTCAATTACTATTAACGATAAAGTCAACTCGTTTTTCTAGTGCTTATCTGTAAAATGACATATGATCGTCTCCTTTGAATATTTATGCAATGATACATATTTATGTGTGTGTGTATATTTTCTCGTTATTAACAGATAGAAAATATAAAAGTTTCAGAGTACTCTTTAATTAACGTCTCTTTTATAATATCGTTATTAACTTTATCATTGTCTGTTTTTTATTCATAGTCAATAAACAACTATTTATATTTTTAATCCAAGTCAGTTATTTGCAAAATACTATCAACATTTTTTTCTGAACATTTTTTTTTCGCATTCAATTTTTTTCTTCTATTGTTTTATTTGATTTTCCAAGAGTATTCTAATTAAAGTTATGTTTTTTTCTATTGTATTTTTGTATAGATTTATTATTTTAAAAAAATAAAAAAATATATATATATTCAAAAAAAGTATATTTTATACAGACTGCTCTTTTTTTCATATTGGGAATTTAATACGTTTTCATTGAATAAAGTTTTTAATTAAAGATTTAACGGAGATAAAAAAGAGTGTGTTGGAGTACAAAAAATTTACCATAGAAAAAATATTGTAATATTCTTTTTGAACTAGCGAGTAATATGTTTCTTATATTTTTTTTCTTTGTTTTCAGGAACTTCCAGGCACGAATTCCACTTCAAAGTTGTTACAGGTTCGTAATAAGTTTAATACCTTAAATCTGCTTATGATACTCTTAAGTGCATAAACTTTCTAGCCGTGTAAATCATCTATTCTTATTAAAAAAGAATTTATTTTTATTGTTAAAAAATTTGAGAACAAAAGGAAAGAAAAAAGGGTTCACTTAATTTCGGTGTTGAAAAAAGATATTTTGTTATATTTTTATTTTCGATTTACTGGAAATTATTATTGACAATTCGAACTATTTAATTTAAAACAAATTTAAATTTAAAGTATTCGATTAAAAATCCAAGCAATTTTGTTTTTATCGTAAACTGCATTATTCCAAGTATTTAATTTAAATTGATTGTGGGTTGAATTTATTTTTGTACATAAATAAAGTTTTCTGATTAAAAATTTTATTTAAAATAATTTCAAAGCATTAAATGGAAACTAACTACCACAACTAAATATTTATAAGAGAATTTTTTATGATATACATTTTTTTGAACGTTCAGATGAATGAAATATTTTTATTAAAAAAAGGATTTTTATTGATTAAAATTTAAAAATTAATTAAACATTTAAAAACTTTTTAATTAATTTTTCAAACCTTAATTTTTTAATAATGCAAAATTATTGTAGAAAAAGTTTAATTTGAAAAAAATGAATAAAATTTCTTCATTTAATTAAATTCGCTTTTAATTATTTAGAAAATCTGACAAGTTTCGTTAAAATTCTTATATCATTGTGATTAAATTTTTCATGGAAGATTTTTAATTAATTTAGTTTTACCGATTGAAATTTTTTTTCAATGAGAAGAAAAATTTTCTTTTCTTAAAAATTTGTGCACACAGACACAAGAAAAAAAATTGCTTTTATTTATTTTTTTTTTTGCTTTTCTGCAATCATTCACTTTTCAAGATGTTTTGTTTTGTGAGTTGAAAGTGGGGTACGTTACACTTTAGCAAGATTCTTCAACTCACCCTTGTAATTTCTTTTTCGTAATTCAGAAAAGAATTTCTTCTACGTGCTTTGAGATTCATACTTACATATTCTCAACTATTTTAAACTACCAAGTCACGTATCAATGGTATGCTGTCAGATTCTTTGTTCTATTTATTCAAATAGTTACATCCATTACTTTGTGAACTCGAGGAAAATAATTTTTTAATTTGCGAGAAAAAAGAAAGATTTCAATTCTTCGCAGCTTCTTTATTATAGCTTTGAGAGAGAAAAATATTTTATAATTCCCAACTACGTTTGTGTATATTTTAAAATTTTCATTCCTCCTTTCATTCCATAATTGCAAATTAAATAATTTTGAATTTAATTTTTAATTCAAAATTTCAAACTTAAATAAAAATTATATAAAATTACAATATTAAATTATTTGAAATTAAAAGTTCTTTAATTGAGAAAATATTCAAATGTATTTATAAATGGAGATATTCTTTAAAGAATATTGAGAAAAAACCGTCTTTTTTCAGATATATTTTTTTAAATCGACTTTTTAAATTGACTTTTTTGGTTAAAAAGTTTGTTAGAATAGTTTCCTACATTTTTATATGCACCCTCATTTTTTAGTCTATGTTGAAAACCAAAAGTGGAGTTTTTCTGCTAACCATGTAAAAAATTTTTTTGATTACTTACTAAAACAAATATGAAAAAAAAGAATTCTGAATTACTGTCATATTTTTTTTGACATTTTTGAAATTACTACCCCTTTAAAAAGTTTGTCAGTTTCAATTTTGCACTGCAAGCAAAAAATTTATTCGATTTAAATAATTTTATTCGACAAGACATCATTATTTTATTATTTTGACTGAATTTTTTAACAGTAAGATAAAAATGATTATTTATTTGATATAAACAAATTAAATAATGAACTATAAAGAACAAACTAAAATAATTTAAATGTTTATTGTATCAGAGAATTTTATTTAATTTAATTTATTTATTATTTTATAAACTTTTATTTTTGCAGTATTTTTAGTTTTTTATTTGTTTTAGAAAATTAAATTGAACAAAAAATACAATATTTAATTTAAATATTTATTTGTGTAGAGAAATATTTGTTTATGTCATACAGTTGAAGTGTATTTATTTAAAATAAACAAACATTCTTTTTGCGATTGAAAAAAATTGTGCAAACAAAATCCTAAATTATTTATTTAGTATTTTTATTCAACCAGTATTTAATCTGTAAATAAATTCGTTAAAGTGAATATTCTTTTATATTGAATTTTAGAATAAGAATAAAATATAGTAAAAAGGGGTATAAATTAGTTAAAATAAATGTTTATTAAATCAGTTGATTAATAATTAAGTAAATACTTATTTCAATGATCACTTATTGCAATTATGACTTATTACAATTATTACTTATTTTAATCAGATAACAATTCAATACATCAAATAATATTTACCTCAATAAAATGTAATTTTTCAAACTTCTCATAAATAATTATAAACAATTAATTCGCTATTTAATTTAAATATAATTTCCTTTTATCTCGTAAATACTATAAAAGTTTTCTTTATTGTTTAATTCACAATAGGCTAGGCTGTCCCTACCTTCTTGGTGATATGTTACTTTATTGATTTTGTTTTGTGTGCCCGCGTGCTTTTTATGAGCCGGTAAAATTGTAATTTTACTTTCATCCAGTGTCGGTAATACCTACCACCAAAATTATTATTTACCCCTGAGAAAGTTCTACATTATCGACAAAAATTCATCCCTCCTGCAATACCGACTGAAAATCATCCCCTTCTTTTAGCAACAATAGTTTAGTTACCGACGGTTGTGAATTTTCTCTCCTCTGATAAAATGATAGGGTGTAAATTTTATTTTATTTTCCATTTATCGGCAAAGGAATTTTTCTTTTCCCTCGATAAATAATTATTATCATTTAAGGATAATGTTTTACTGATAATTCTCTCAAATGAGAGGGTAGATTTTTCCCTGTAAGAGAATTTTTAATATCAACAATAGATAGAAATAATTTTTCTCATTTATATTCTTTCATTTATAACAAAAGTTTCATTTTGACTCTAGAAACATTTTTTATTTTTTATATTTTAATCACTGGACGAGTTTTAATTTTTTGATAATGAATTTTTTATTTATTTATTAATATTAATTTTAGATATTAATATAATTTTGGATTATTCATAAAATATAATATAATTATAATTAAGATACTTTAAAATTTTAATGAATGAAAAGTAAGTAATTTACTATTTTCGAATTACTTTCATCGCGAAAGAAAAATATAACAGTAATTGAAATTTAAGTGCAATTTTTCATTTCTTTCTTTCTTTTTCTTTTGTGAAAATAGTTTTCCATTTGACTTTTGTATTTCTTTACGATTTCTCTAGTAAGTTTTATGGTGAATTACTTTTCGAATGGTCCTAAACGAACCTTCTGTCTGAAATTTCTCACATATCTCTCTCTCGTGGTCTCCAACTTATTTCCTTTTTCACCACCCACGCACGGATTTAAACTGGTTTCACACCAAGTGATAATCTCAAGAATTCCGTTTTACCGACGTTCTGGCAAATCTTTTTACACCAAAAATAATAAATAAAAAAGTGTATTATTTAGGATTTACGCTTGTTTGTAAGACTTTTCATGTTAAGTCCTTTTTCCACTAGCCACGAAGCTTATTTTTTAGTAAAAAATCTATTTTGATAAAAAATTTAATGCTTTTGTCAGAGATAACGATTCTCAAGATAGTTTTATAATTAGTAGAAGAAATATATCAGAATTTTTAAAATTGCTACAAAGAAAGTTAAAATTTTATGAACCTGAACTCTGTAACGTTTTTAAAAACGAAAAAAAAATATATTTTCCAAATTAAATTTATCTCTAATTTTCTTGTGCGTAAATTTTTAGGAAACTAATTGTTATACTCAAAAACAATTGTTCGAAAATATAAATTTAAAGTAAAAATAAAATAAATTACAGCATTATTTTTTCGTTTTTTAAAAACGTTGCATATTTTTAGTAGTAAGAGAGACATCGCCTTTTTTGCTATTATATATTTTTATTTATTTTATATAAATTCTAAATAAACAGAACGAAATTGCCTCAAATAGAACATAAAATTATAATGCTCCGAGAGTTTTTCTCTGTTTTAATTATAAAAAAAATTTTATTTTAACAATAAAATGCGCTTTTAAAAGCGATAGAGTTGAGAGAAAAAAAAATGTTTATCTTTTTAAGTGGTAATAAAGAATTAAATGAAACATGATATATATTTTTTAGAACTCACATTTCTTTTCATTCTTTGGATTTTTATACGCTTTCTTTTTGCGTCTTCTTTTATGACTTCGTACTCGGCTTTCTTAAAAGTCGATAAAGCTCGACACAGCGTTTTTTTTTCTTATCAGCCAATGCCTTTCAACAATCGGTAATAAATAGAGATGTGAGATTTCTTTAAATGTTCGACCTTCTCAAAGTTTCTTTTTTTTTTTGTAAGAATGGGATTTTCGGGAAATGGGCAATTCATGGAATTAAATCAGGCATCTTGCTTATGTTTCACGTTCAATAAGAATTCATTTTATTTTAAAACAATTCTCGTCTTTTGAGATGTTTATAATACAGAAAAATATGTATAATTTAATTTATAAATAGTTTTATTACAATTTATTTGTTTTAGCAAACTTTTTGCAACAATTATATTTATTAAATATAAAAAATATTTCGTTCTATAAAATTTCATATGTTCGTTTAATTTTTTTTTGTGTGCAATTTATTGATCGACTAAAAACATTTCACAATTCGTGACTCTAGAGTCATAAAAGGTTTTATCTTACTTTTGATTTTATGAAAACTAATTGTGATATTAAAAAGTACAATATTACGAATCGTAAAGCGAATAAGAAATAACGTAAAGTCGTAATTATAAAATTACATTATTAAATAAAATGGTTTAAAGTTTATATTAATATTAAAGGAAATATTCGTTTCTTTAAAATTCGAATGTTTTTTTAAAATAAGAAAGTTCATTTCATAAGGATTTTAAAAATTGAAAATTTTTCTAGAGACAGGAATTGAGAATTTATTTTATTATGAAAACTGTTAAATTAAGTGATATGAATTGAATATTATCTATAATCTCATAAATGTTATTTGAAATAAAAGTTTTCTCAATATATTAACCGAAAGTCGATATAACCGTTCGGGCGATACCTTGATTTGGCATTGAAGGGAGATCAGGAGGAAACTTCCACCTACCTGTCTTCCCCTAAATTTCTCTGTTGCCATTCACAGCTTCTTGAATCTCACCCTCGTAATAAATTGAATATCAAATAAATTCCTCTGCTCTTTAATCTTCCCACTTTTTCTTTTTCCAATCTGAAACAATACAATTTGACAAATTTGCTTTATTTATTTTCCAATAAAGAAGAAAATACATTATAATATTATTGTTGTATCAATTAATTTATATCACTTAAAAAACGTTCATTTATACATTATTTTTAAATTCAGGGTGGTCTTCATGAACTTTTTTGGATTTCAAGTTTGTCAAAAATATCATATTTCACAGTTTTGTTCAGTTTTTTTTTTTTTTTTTTTTTGAAAATTATGAAAATTGTGGGCGTTTCCGATAATTCATACTAGTTTTCTTCCTATTCTGTATCACTAAGAAAATAATTCAATTATTATTATTTAATTTTTGTCCATCTATTTAGCGACAAATAAATAAATTTTCCAATTAATGACGAACTGATTTGTTAAAGTTGTTTATTTAAATTCACATGTACACACATGAGATATTGTATACATTAGTGCTTCTAAATTCTTACTCCTCCTCCTCCTCTTTTCTGTAGAAGTTCCCTTAGTATTTAGTTTGCGATGTTTGTGCTCCTCTGCACTAATTAATTAAAGGGTTTCCTCCAGAATTCTATATATACAAAAAAAATATTGACTCAAGTTTACCCATCTTTCAAACGTTAGATTCATGATTGCCTGTTTTCCCCTTTTAATTCGAATTAATTTATTTACTTTAGATTGCTTGTTATAGAATCTTTTTCTTTAATGGCCCTTTGTTCAATTACATTTTTACAAAGGATGATAACATTTTTTCCCAATATATATTATGACATTTAATTAAAAAAACTGACATTTTGATGTATAGCATTATTAAATATCATAAATATAAATTATTTATTATTATTATTATTATTATTATTATTATTATTATTATTATATAATTTATTATTAATTATAAATTTATAATTAAAAGATTTTGAGATTTAGGATAAACTTGGAGTCATTAAATTTTTGGAACAGTAATAAACCTGGTTTTCGTTTGGAAACATTTAACCCCATTATATGTGATAGAGGATACTGGAATATGAATTTACAATATAGCTAGCTTTAACTGTGCGTATGTAGAAGCAATAATTACATTGGTGACTCACGTTTTCATTGTGAAAACGAGCGTGATTTTGTTTCGTGGCAATAATGCTATTAACGATAGGTTATCGGCGTCCACCTGCCGATCTGCGTACTCTAATGCACACGTTTATGCGGAAATTCTGTTAGGTAAAGGCAATCAATTCGACCGGAAAACCCCTACTATTTTTTTTCTCTATTTTATAATATATTTAGCTTTTTGTGACATTTTTTTCAAAAATTTTTAATTTTTGTTTTAATTAATAGAGACAATTTTAATATTAATATTTATTAATAAAAAGTGTACTTTTTAAAAGGGGAAGTTTTCTCGAATGTTTGATACTAAATTGGTTAAAATTGATACTAAAAAGAAAAAAGTATCAATTTATGATTTGATCCACTTTTTGGTATCAATTTGTTGCAGTTTGATACTTTAAAAAAATTAACAATGGTTTCAACAAATGTAAATTAATTGCTAGTTGTAAATTTTGATCTATTTTATTTGATATAAATACGGATATTAAAGGATATTAAATAATAATTAATTTATAAATTTCTCTTTGTTCGGAGAATGTTTATTGTGTGTTATGTTCCTTCTGTGTGTTTACAATTACCCTGCGGTTACGTTTTCAAAATGAATTGGTATCAACTTTGTTAAAAGTTTAATGATATCCTGCCGCTGATTTTCAAATTACAATAACATTCATTTACAAGCTTCTAAGTTAATAATTGAAATTTTATTTTTCCACTCTGAATTAAATTTTAATTTCGAATTATGCAGTATTAAGTTGAATTCAGAGATTAATGTATGGCCATTTTTATATAAATAGCAAGAGAAAATTTGTCACTTTGTCGAGGGATGATACGATGCATACACTGCGTCGTGTGACCCCTCGCGAAAATTGAGATTAATTTATGTCTGTAGTTTCATAGTGGAGATCTCGCGATAGAGCGTGAATTATGCACATTACCTGATCCTCTACGTGACACAGGAAATTCCTAACTTTGTGGGTATGTTAGGTTAACGTCAAGTTATTGCGCACTTTATAAAATAAAATCCACATAAATTTCTTCTTAAGTATTTTAGAAAGAAGAATTTAATATTTTATTATCTTACATGTTTTAAATGCGTCAATGTAAAGGCAACCGAAGGCAGTAAAGTTTTATTCGTATTCGAAAAAATGGATGATTGAAAACAACCTTGTTTAGTCTGTGTGGTTTATTTTAAAACAAACTAAAATTGAAATCTATTGTTCGCTCATTAAACAGACGAAATTAATGTACTGATAAACAAACGTATCCGATATCAAAAGAAAATATTAGTTTTGTTTACCTTCAATACAAACAATCATTTCGTTATTTAAACATTTATATTATGAGAACGTGTCCAACCAGTTCTCGATTTATCTTTATCACACATTCTCCTCAACAATAAATAACAAGGCTAGAGGGATTGCGTGCTTATTTTGTATTTTGTTCGTTTTCGAGTTTGCAATGTTTTTTTACAAGTTCAAATATGAATTTAAATTGAAGAAATAATTATAATGGAAACAACTAAGAGTAGAGAGGAAAGGGAAGAATAATAAAAAGATTAAATATTTAAAAGAAAATTGATTTTAATATATCTAGTAGATGAATTTGACTTGATGGTGATTATTTATAGTCGAGCGATTCAAGTATCCGTTTTGCGCAACTCTCCATTGCAGGGAGTGCGATATTTCTAGTTTAGAAAATGGGAGGATGACGGCGAATGAAGTCAAATGGGTCTAGCTACAAAAAACAAGGAACTTCCGCCAACCAACCTCTCCATCGATTTTATCGCACACACCTAAAGATTACATGTATCTGTACGTGTATATATATATAGAGGTACTGAGCACACTTCACGAACATATCCAGACTAGCGCGGATTTATTTTACCCCTTGCACCCTCTACACCTTTCCCCACACGAAGCTTTTAACAAACCCGCTTCTATCCCGAGAAGGAGGAAATATCTTGTGCTTCGTGGCGTCACGTACAGCTCCATAGATTTATCTTCCGTCCCTGGAAATTTATATTTCATACTGTCGATCGCGGCTTAACGCGCCAGATCGCGAACGTGAACTTTGCTAGCCGCAGTAGTGTAACTCGAGTTATGATCGGCCGTGCGTAAGTTCGTCGAGTTTTCAGTTGACTTGTGAATATATATAACTTATACTCTATATCGAATATATCCATAAAGTTACATTTCCAATTATTTTTTTTCTTTAATGATTAACCATCTTTTTTTTTGTTTCAGGTGAGAAAAATCATCACTCTATAGTATGTAAGTACCTTGCAATCTCAGAGTATTTTTTCCCTTCAAGTTCGAAGATACATTTAACCTTTCCTACTCCTGGATATTCATTTTTTTTTTTTTTTTTGTAAAAGTATTATTTGCGGTCAGTAGAAGAAACATAATTTTAAAAAAAGAGACTATATGGGTTACTAAGGAAGTAGGTACTAAATTCATGATTTGACGATGAATTCGCATCGTTGGCATTGTGAATTCATTCGTGGCTGTTTAGTGTTTGGTATTGTGCTCACCCTAATAATGTATAATTGATAATGTGGATCGAGTGTTCAACGTGTGCAATGATTTACACGAATCGCGCACACCCTTTGGAACGCTGAGTGAACAGCGGTAAGCATTAACCCTGATTAGGACATGCGAGTGACGGTTTCGTAATCCCAATGGTGGTACCACAGGTGGAGGTAAAGTGGTCCAAAGATCCGTTGAAGCACACAATGATATTGGGAACTAGTATACTCACGCTAAAATCTACACACAGGTCGCATGTAATCATCAGCTTGCAAGAATGTAGTGCATTACCTATATATACAACCGCATTGATAAGAACAATCATTTCCCATAATTTTCCATTCAGAGACATTTTCACTTTTTTGTAAATATATTTTTGTTTACTCAATTTATTTAAATTTGTACCATAGACTTCTTGTCACAAGCTTAAATGGTAAAAAAAAAGAGTAGAAAGTTAATTAACCACGAAGAAACAATCATTTCAAAACAGCGATTCTTTAGAATACCAGGGTTGCTACAAAAACCTAATTTTAAAATTTCATGACTTTTTCAGCTCTAGTTTTTGGAAATTTCCAGGTCAACTACTTTTTTCGTAGAAATATAGATGTATTTTATTCGTTATTGATAAATTTTCACTTTATTTTCTGTATATATAAACTGTCGATCAAAATTATCGGACCACTCTTTTTGATGAATAAAAAACATCTTACAACATAAAATTTATGAAAACTAAAATTTTTTCTGATAATTTTTTTAAGACTACCTACAAAATTATGAGAAGAAAAAGATCTGAAAGAAGTTGTTTTATCGAAATTTTCAGGGTGGCCACATGTCAGTATAGTCAGGGAAACAAAATTCTTGTCTTGTAAAGTCAGGAAAATGACAGAACAAATATTTTTTTCAGGGTAATTAAGAAAATTAAGACTTTTTTCAACTTATTTTCAAAAATTACCACTTTTTCGACTTTCTATCCAAAGATTTCAACAAAATACCACATTTTTAAGCATAAAATGCAACTTATTTCGATTTTCATTGTGCGAATAATAACTATAAGCAAATCTTTCAAGTATTTTGTTATAATGTTTGAAAATGAAATTTTGAGTATTCGGTAAAATCATGGTCATATTTATAATTAAAATTCTTCAAAAATTGGATTATTTTTATTTATATTTTTCAAAAATTCAATTATTTTTAAAAGATTTTACCAAATTTCAATTGTTTGGAAAGTTTTCAATTGTATATAATTAAAAAAACTACTATTCTAGAAGAACTTTCGGAAAATTATTTAGAATAATTGATTTAGAGATGAACTTTATTTGAAAATTATAAAAAATAATTGAATTCATGAAGAGTAAATTGTAAATTTTAAAATTCACAAATTTTTCTCTTTTTCCG